GTTCGTTGTCTTACAAAATTTCATCTATTTTTGATAAAAATTTTAAAAGGTTAGAAATTACTTTCTGTGTGGGTGGCTTCCTTTCAAGTTATTACTTAAGCAATAGATGAAGTTGCCATTAGTGTAAAGTCCTGGTTTTAAAGATTTGGTTGCTGGTTCCATTTGGAAAATTCATGAGGATTTTCAGAGAAGTTTGAAAATTTTTAAGATGCTGTATAAAGGTTGAATACTGCTTTTAGAATAATAATGGAGGGGCCGGCCTGGTGGCGCACTGCTGCAGTGCGCCGCTTGGGAAGCGCGGTAGCGCTCCCGCCGAGGGTTTGGATCCCACATACAGACCGGCCGCTCACTGGCTGAGCGAGGTGCTGCGGGAGCGACACCGAGGGTTGCGATCCCGTGGCCGGTCCTGGTCCGGTATGGGCGCGACACTGAGGGTTGCGATCCGTTGCCGGTCACGAAAAAAGACAAAAAAAGGAAAAAAAAAAAAAAAGAAGAATAATGGAAAATCAAAATCTGTCAGTTCCTTTTCCCTTTTGCTTTTTATTAAGCAAATCTTGAAGAAGTTACTCATGATTCAGAATGTCTTGACTAGTCTCTTTCCTCCTTTGTGAAAGAAGTTTCTCTGAAAGTGTTAAATAAAAATGGGTATCTTCCTGCTAGTGAGTATTCGTTAAAATTACTCAGTGGAGATTCTTTGGTTTTGTGAAACTTCAAGGAAGACTAACTCCACTCTTCTTCCTTTCATTCCCTCTGTGGTCCATCATCTAAGTCCATCTTAGCCTGTAACCCTGTCTAGCCTCGTAAAGACAGCTTTTCCCCATTCTTTTGCTTCTCAATATTTTTAACCACCTACAGGTGATTTCTTCAGATCAGCTGAAGTTTTGTCACTTACCTCTTGGAACAGCCTTCCAAGACTTCTTATTGTCTAATGAGTTTAATGAATTTCTTACATAGTATTTCAGGCCCTGAAAATATGCTCCCAACTTATATCTTTCTAGCCTTCCATCCCCAAGTTTATGCTCTGCTCACTGAGACAGTGAGCAATTAGACAACTAAAATGATTAGGGAGTTTTAGGTATGGGAGGACTTACAACAATTTTATTCTTGATTAGAATAGAAATTAGTAAACATTGTGACTTTGAGAATGTTTTTAGATGACCATTATCAGAAAGACAAAGAGTGAGCAGTGACACCTAGTAGTCAAGCAGGAAGGAATAATAGGAAACATGTTTTGTACATGTTGGAGATGAAGATGATGTGAACATTCAGGAATAGATGTTTGAGGAGAATAGGGAGAGACAGGTGGAAAGTGCAACTGGAATGAAAACTAGATATAATACTCTGGGTTATATTACTCTCCTATTTCATATTTATGTATAAGACTATTAACCAATAATATCTAGGTTGAAGAGATTGTCACTAATACAAACAATAAATTAAATGACTCTTACTGTAAAAAAAAATTTAAAAAGAGGGCAGCTCAGGAGAAATTGGAATGAGAAAAACTACTGGGAATTATCTATAAAATGACAGTGGAGGTGATCACTGTGAGGTTTTTCCCCCTTTCTCCTTATAATAGAAACAGTTTAAATAAAATAAGTAGAGAAAAGTCTGAGAAGGAGCAGCCCCCACTCTCCCAAGGAATTTGCTGTCTTGGAAGCCAGCTATTATCATGGGACAGTTGATATACAAGGATAGCCTTAGTTTTCAAATTTTATGGTAGAAATAATTTAAGGGATCTCCCTGTAAAAATCTGGAGTTAAAATGCAATATTCTGATATAAAGTAATATACCATAATGTATTTAGAATTCATCTTCAGGACTGTGTTGTAGGTAAATGGAGCTATGATGACATCCTTTTGGTATGTCTAGTAACAAACTCTCTTGAACAGGGTCAAACACGTACCAAACTTATATTGAATCTACCCTGGAAGAAGTTATTATATTTATAAGATTCAAGGCAGACCCTGGAAGAAGTTATTATATTTATAAGATTCAAGGCAGTTTCCATGGAAAAGTTTTTTCTTTTTAATTCTAAAGGATCCCTTATTTTTATCTTCCTAAAGTTGAGGAGTAATTGGGTAATGGGTGGACAGTTTCTGGAAGCATTCATTCATGAGATTCAAGATACATATTCTGTGAGAAGTATCATAAAAAAAAAAATGCACAGTATATAGATGGAGAATGAAACCATGCAAAAAATTTCATGAGTGCAACCTGACCAGTCTGCAAATAATACATTCTGTACCCTGCAATTTTCAGTGATGAGTTTTCTCTTTTTCTTTACTCCTCACAAAAATCTCTGCAACTGCATCTTTCAGGTCCTGGTACAACAATAACACTAAAACAAATGATCATTAAGATCAGGAATGGTAATTTTATTTCCTTAGTGTAAAAACCCTTGTTTAGGGAGGTAGACATTGCAAAGACCCTCTTCCATAAATGATATCCGTGTATTTTCGGATTTAGGGGTCCTATCTATGGTGCCATTGGATTTAAAGTAAAAGTTCTTTTAAGTCTAGAGGTCTTTGTTTTAAAGTTGACTATTATATATGTAATGTGTTGTGTTTGGTTTTTTTTTTTGTCTTTTTAGCCGTGTGGTTTTGCCATGTTCTGTTCAGGAGGTAAGTCTTTTTTACTTCTGCATCATTTCATTGGTATAGTTAACTCTGGTATGTTAATCTAAACTTACATTTTCTTAGTATACATTTACCTTTTCATTCCAGTTTATGTGACAAAATGGATTATACTGTGTTACAGATAATTAATTGCAAATGAATTTCTTGTTACACTGCCTTGTTTTGGAAGAGTCTAAAGAATGTAGTTCTGTTAGTGCAGGAATTCTTTCTACAACATCCCAGAAAAATGAGGCTCCAGCCTCAACTGGACTATTTTAAAGTTAAGTAGCTTGCCTGCTTAGAGGAGCAGCCTACTTGACTGCTGGGCATTTTAAACATTTTAAACATTCTTTACTTTAAACCAAAACCTGTTTTTCTATAATGTTTGACTGTTATTTACAGTTCATTCCATTTGAGCAGTGGAAAATAAGTCTGTTCTGTCTTGCACCTGGTAACCCTTCAGGTTTTCTGATGGCAGCTCTTCCTCCCTAACTACTCCCACCCAAGACCGTTTGTTCTATCTTAAAAGGTCACCAAGTTAAACATTCCCAGTACATTCATTGGCCTAATATAACACGACCTCTAGACTTCTTTACTAGTCTCATTACTTCATGTGGTAGTGGTGTTCTGACTGTAAACAGTATTCCAGAAATGGTCTGACCAGTAAATAAATGTGAGAGCTTATTGTCTCTCTTTGTCTGCACATGATATAGAAATACATACATCATCTATTCAGAACTTGCATGTCCTGCAGTTGTAGCTTTCTGTAGTATAGCCAAGAATGATGATAAAAGCAGAAAAGCTTCTGAGAAATCAAGGTATGTGTAGCAAAACCCGTAAAACCCTCTGGGCCCTTCTGTAACTTGCATATAGTTCCCATTCCCTTAGTTATCTGGTTTTCCTAGAGTTGACAGTAGATTAGAAGCAGTGAATTGGAAGTGGGACAAAACAAACTGATAACCTAAAAAGTGACAGCTGACAGAAGACAGAAAGAAAAAAAAGGCAAAAACTAAGAGTAGCTGTTTGGTAATGTTTAGTGTAGACTTGAACACAGCTGTATATATCTCAGTAGTGCCTGAGGTTTCACCACGTTAAAACACTCGAGACAAGCCAGGCACCCCTATTCTTTATTTGCACAATTGATTGTTTGAACTTGAATGTGGAAATTGACATTTGTTTCTGTGAAATTTTTTCTTTTGGTTTCAGCTGGTTGAATCAGCTTGTTGAAATCTTTGTGAGTCTTGATATCGTCACACAAAATAATCTTCTCAGCTTTTTGTTATGCTCATATTTTATAAACATGCCTTCTGTCTGTTGTTCTTAAAAATGAGATGAGAGAAAGCCTCGTAGCATGCCACGAACAAATATTAGTCTGTTAGTAACATTTTTTGGACACTGTTGTTTAGTTGTTTCTGTGTGTTCCTGACCAACATCAAATTTACCTTTTGACTTAGAGACATTTTAATCCTGTTTTAAAATATGACAGCAATGAAAAGTACTCTTGATGATATTTAAGGATTGTGGAATTACTATACTAACCCTAGTGTTGTGTCATGGAAAACCAAAAGGAGAAATACAGCCCCCTCTGCAGTCTAAAATCCCTACAGGAACTTATTTTTGGAGTATTTAAGAAATATGTTTGGTTCCTCTTCCTAAACCCTTCCAAATTGAAAGAGAGAGTGTGTGTGTGTGTGTGTATGTCTGTGTTTTTAAATTAAACTAACCTGCATGATGGAGTATTTAAGAAATATGTTTGGTTCCTCTTCCTAAACCCTTCCAAATTGAAAGAGAGAGAGTGTGTGTGTGTGTGTGTGTGTATGTCTGTGTTTTTAAATTAAACTAACCTGCACGGTAACATCATATCCCCATGAGCTTTTTAGATATGAGTATTTATTTACTGAGCTTAGAACTATCCCTATTTTTTGTTCCTCAAATAAAATTTTTAAAGTTTGGGGCCGGCCCAGTGGCGCACTGCTACAGTGTGCCGCTTGGGAGCGCGGCGGCACTCCCGCCGAGGGTTCGGGTCACACATACAGACCGGTTCCCGCTCACTGGCTGAGCGAGGTGCGGGCGCAGCACCGAGGGTTGCGATCCCGTTTCCGGTCTCGGTCCAGTACGGCGTGACACTGAGGGTTGCGATCCGTTGCCGGACACGAAAAAAGACAAAAAGGAAAAAAAAATTTTTTTTAAAGTTTGGAATTACGAGTTCGTAGAGATAGATTTTTGTATCTTTTCTTTGAAAATATGCCTAAAAAGAAGAAAAGCACTTCTTCAGGCTGTTTTTATTGGAAGGAAGAAATTGAGCCATATGTGGAGATTGGAGATAGTGCCATGGTTGGGTCACTGGAATAAATTAGAACATGAGAACTTTGGTTTTTACTGTTTGTTGAAACTGGTGACTACAGGTTGCCATTGAACAATACTGCTGAATCACAGGTATTGATGTAGACTACTGAGAATTCTGGTTTACTTTAAGTGAAATAGAAACTACTGTCAGCAGTTTGCTGCTTTTTATGATAACACTTATATATTTATAATATTTAAAAAACAGTTTCTGTTTACTGGAGAGCTTTGCAGTTAACTGTTCTGATTCTGGGTACCCAGTACTGTTTCTGTTTAGCGGAGCAAGAGCCAAATTGGACATGTTATACATAAGTCATGGGAATAAAAGACCCCAGAGGTCTACTAAAATTTGGACTATCATGGTTCTTTGGATCTTCAGGCTTTTGTTGTTATACTTTATATCCCTCTTTATTATTCAGAACAGTATACTGGTTGCTCAGCTTTAATTGGTAGAGTGACAATTTTATTTCTGCCATACTTTCAGAATTTTCTAAAGTTAAATGAGATATAATATATGTGAAAATACTGTGGAAAGTACAAATGTATATTGTTCAAAAGTTGAGCCAAGTGTTGACATTTTCTTGATAAATGAATAGTATAAAAGCACCAGAGTATTTGTAACTGGCAATTTTTTTTGAATAATGGAAATCCTGTAAAATGTAGAATTTCTTAAAGCTAGGTGATCATCTGGTGTTTGTCTTCCTAAACATATTAATTTCTAATTTGAATTGTGTTTTCATATAGAACATACATGCTAAACAGTTTGGATATGTTTTTCTCTATCTTCTATATTAAGCTTTTAGTATAGGAGATTTCTGCAGTTACTGACTCAGAAATTCTGTGCTCTTTGAAATTTCAGTATCAGGTTGGGCAGCTGTACTCTGTTGCAGAAGCTAGTAAGAATGAGACTGGTGGTGGAGAAGGAATTGAAGTCTTAAAGAATGAACCTTATGAGAAGGATGGAGAAAAGGGACAGTATACACACAAAATTTATCACCTAAAGAGGTAAGTGGGGTATTCACATTTGATGCTTACTCATTATGTTAAATAATTATGCTGTAATTACTTAGGAAGTGTGTAACTACCTAACTTACTAGTAGATGTGCTGAGGCACAGTTTTTATTTTGATGTGATATTTTGTTGTATTTTAATTTTTTGAGAGAACTTGCCCCTTTATTGGTATTTTTAAATTATAAGAGTTATATGTTTGCTTATAATAAAAATTCAAAGAAGACTAAAATAAAAATTTAATCCCCACCCCTTGTCATTGAATATTTGTAACTGTAGAGAGAAACACTAGAATCAGTTTAGGGTTTACTCTTCCAGATCATTTTCTGTACATATTTAAAGAAGTTTTAAAAAACAGAGAGATGTATCACTTGTATCATTTTTAGTTTCCTACAACAAAAGGGCTAACACTGTACATATGGTTTTGTAGTTTGCTTTATTTTTTATGCAACAATTTGTCATGAATGTCCTCCATATTATTTAATATTCATGTGATTCTTTTTAGAGCTGAGCAAAATTTCTTAGTTTCCTTTATCATTTCCTAAATGACAAGTCCATGTAGGTATTTTCTAGTTTTTGTCTGTATAAATAATATTTCTGTGAACATGGTTGGATGTGTGTCTTTATGCCTCGGGTTACTATTTCTCTAGGAGAAATTCGTAAAAAGATTGCTGGAAGGACATGCTCATTTTATCTCTCTATTTATTTATTTATTTTTTATATAAAGATCTAAATTGGCTTTATTGCAATTCTAGAATCAGGCAACACATTATTCCATAAAATAGAATAAATGTTCCCTCATTTAAAATTTTTATATTACTGCCAGATTGCCCTCTTAAGAATTTGATAGTATTCATTTTTTCAGTCTTTTTAATTTTTGCCAACTTTATAGGCAAAACATAGTCTAGTTTAAATTTATATTTATTGGTGAGGTTGAATGTCTTTTCAAATTACTTGACCGTTTGAATTTCTTGTGTGACTTAACTATTCAGATCCTTTGTTCATTATTTTTTTCTCTTTGGTTTATCACACATTCCCTAAATTTGGTACTCTAATCTCTATTTTAGTTTATGTATATTTAATTTTGTATTTATTTTATCTGTATTTATTTATTTTTATCTATATTTAAAATAATATATATATATATATATATATTTTTTTCCTTTTTGTCTTTTTTCGTGACCGGCAACGGATCGCAACCCTCAGTGTCGCGCCCGTACCGGACCGGGACCGGCAACGGGATCGCAACCCTCGGTGTTGCCCCCGCACCTCGCTCAGCCAGTGAGTGGGAACCGGAACCGGTCTGTATGTGGGATCCGAACCCTCGGCGGGAGTGCTGCCGCGCTTCCCAAGCGGCGCACTGTAGCAGTGCGCCACCGGGCCGGCCCTAAAATAATATTTTAAAACAGAAAATGCATACAGTATTTATCTAAGGGCAAAAGATCAGTACAGTAATGGCTTTTAACAGTCCAT